TCCTTAACTTATACAGGAATGAAATTAAATTATATCTACTCATATTCATGTATTTAAGCGTTTTAATGGTTTGGCTGATTAATCGAAAAAATAATCGACAGATTAATCGATTATTAAAATAATCGTTAGCTGCAGCCCTACATAGAATCTGCTCCATTAAAAACTAAAACCACCCTTCTTACGTCAGTGTTTCTCGTCACCACCACAGAATAAGTAAAAACAGATAAATACCAAGGTCTCCAAAGTGTGCAGCCTCCATGTGGCTCGGCTGTTTCTTGAGGATGGCGGTGCGTCCGCGGGCGAACGAGTCCATGTTGGCCGATATGGCGTTGATGGCCACGTGGCTCGGCCCGGCAGCTTCCTGGATGGCATTGTGGTTCCTCAGTGCGTGTGATGGGGAGTGAGCGTTGACTGGAGCTGGAAGAAGAGGAAGGGTGAGCACAAGAAGCAGAAGTGTTGTCATTTACAATAAAACAAAAATAAAAAATACACAAAAGCGCTCATTTCAATGGGCTTGGCGTATGATGGTGTGACTTAGATAAAAGGCTCTTTTTAGTATTTTTGTAAAAGTTCACAGTGTGCCGAGGCCTCGGGCTGGAAGTGATTACAGAACACAGACTAATCTGTTTTCTTAACAGTAACACGTTGTAATTTTTTTTGTAATATACTGTTTTTAAGGCCAGTGACTGAACATAAACAAACCCAACTTAAATCAACCTAAACAGTAACTTGAATCTGTAAAAAAGAAAACTCTTCAAAACCACACAGATTCCAGGAGTCACAATCATTTAGACCTTTTGTTGTCTATAATTATCACTAACTCCACTTTCATAACTATCATCAGCCTCCCAGTTTTAACTTACACAGCTGTAGTAAAATGTAAGTCTCTGAACGCCAAGGCATCACTTCTCAGGACAAACGCTTCTACTAATATAATAAACTCCACAATTTCATTATTTAACAAAAATGAAGAAATTATCATTTCTTTTGATAAACTTAATAACTAGTAAAATCAAGCAATAATCTCAGACAGCTGGCCTTATTATAAGTGATGGAATTTTGTCCTGATCTTCTGTAAATACGTGGCCCATCACATCAAACCGAGGACTAACACAAAGTCATAATAGATAGTGCACTGGCAATTTGCAACTACTGCATTCTGTCAATACATAATGAAAAACCTTATCTACAGGTCGTTAAAATGAAATATGTGAAATTTAATCTTAAATGATTATTTTTAACAGTGGCAACAAAAATATGATTTCGAGCAGAGAAGCCTTTATTTTTCATCCTTTTCCATCCAAGCTGGAAAAGATTTTGTTCTTTCCAGCTGGAAAATCTTAATAATTAAAAAGTGTTTGAGGTTTATTTTTAAAATGACATCAAAAAGTGCTCATTAGATCATGGGTTATCCTGATGAGGAAGACGAATCGAGGTAAATCTCTGGAACCTCTCATGACATCAGGATGATCCTGGAATCAAAACGCAGCTTAAAAAGCAGGAATCTGAAAAAGTGCTGGGTTCATTTTGACTCAATTTCWTTTAATCCACAGTTTGATGTGATGGSTCACGTATTGTTTTAACTCCTTGATGTTTTCAGACATTTARGGCTCTGTTCAAGTCCTCCAGCACTTCACCAGTTCTGAGCCTTCTCTTTCCTCAGTCTTTCTGTTGATCTTGTTTCATGACCCAGTTTGATCCGAGCTTCAGCTTTCAGACAGGACGCTTCACATTTGACTGTAAAATCCTTTTGTCAACACAGGAGCTCATGAACAACTCGACAACTGCACAATGCCCAGGTCTTGCTGCAAATCATTGCCTCTCCACTGCCAGCATGAAGCGTCTGTACTCATACTGTATGTTAGAGCTGTGCAAAAATACATCATCACAGCATCAAAGTGAAACATTTCAGCAACATAGCTGATGTGAACTGCGAGCTGAGGGTGTAAAAGCACATGGAAATTGTTGTGAGTGTTGACAGGAAAGGGAGGAGTGAGGAAAATGTGAGTCTGTTCAAACAAAATGATCCCAAACGCACCTCTTTCTAAAACTGCAGCCCTGCAGTGTTTTACAACTGAACCTTTATGTTCAAACTAAGGACATTTTAGGAAATCTTAAGGTTTGTTTTGGKGCTGCTTTGTAAACCTAAGCTCTGCTGTTTTGTTCTTTTAAAAAACAGATTCTGGATGACCCGTCCAGACAAAGCATGTCTAACACTGAACATGCTAACTTAGACCAGATGTAGCTCACGCACAGTCTGACCTCAGGGTGAATTTGAATGTTTATTCCACCYTCTTAAATGTTTTCACTTCTGATGAACTCTAACTTCATTAAAATACCTTTATAATCAATCTTCAATTGATTAATAGATACAGTTGCTTCACAAAAATCATCAACAAACTACCAAAAGTCCTGCTTTTGTGGAGGGGCTGACTCTTACTGCTGGTCTATTATTTAAGAGTATTTGAGCAGCAGCATCTGACTGCTACTCCCTCCTAATAAAGCATCATGGTCTTAGTTTTACACACACGCACACTAGTTTTTAATAAACCAGTAACATGACAGCTATTCAACATCATAACACCCTAAATTTAAGAGTTTTTCTTGTGAAATTGTCTGCAAAAAATGTCCTTGCTTCCCCCCTATAGCTTCAGAAATCACAGAGTTTTCAGTTTAGCACCGCTTCAGCTTTCTTCATGTAAAAATAAAGACGAGCTCACCTTTATTGACTCGAGCATCTGTTACTTTCACAGGTTCCTTGCTTTTGGCTGTTGGGGAAGAAAGATAAAAGCAGGAATGTAAGTTAAGAAGAATAACATTTGAAATCACAATACAGGGTGAGTCCAGAGGACTAAAAGGTGCATGGTATGTCAGGGAAAAGGGCTGGTGTGGCAACAAAACAGTATCCAGTTACACTATGACACACAGTAGCTGTGAATTTGATCCACTAAGATGCTTCGCTGATAAAAATATATATATATTAACATGAATTATGGCTGCTGATGCAAAAACGTGAAGTTAAATGTGGAAGTTAAGCCCTTATATGTTAAAAACATCAATATGATCCTCACTGCACAACAAGCAGCACAGATTTTGACAAAATATGTCCTAAAACAGCTCCGAGTCCATTAAATATGCACTGCATAAATAAAACTATAGTTATAAATATWCAAAAATATTTCCTGCATGCCCATTTACATCCTCCTACATGTAGAGACAAGAACTTTGTTTCTCATTTCCCTTTTTTAAAAACAGCTGTGTCGGCTACTTTGTCCAYTATGACCAGTGAGGAGGAGGAAATCTTTTTTAAGGAAGAGAAATAGCACAAGTTCCTTTACTGGTTTCCTGAGGAAACAGAGCTTGCTCAATAACAACCCATGGACTGTGATGAGAAATTATCTACACCAGTAACAACAACCAGTTAAAATCAATGTGTAATAAAGCTTGCCTGCAACAAATCACGTTATTGTCTTGTTCCAATTGTTTTAGTGTGGATCCTGTGTCTACCTTATCTTCTGCAGAGTCAACACTAATTTAACACAGCTTACCAGTAAGGCTAATGTTTAGAAGCTACTAGTAAAAACACATATTACTCCATCGTTTTCTGCTTTTTAACACAATTTATCTTGGTAGAGATTTCTCGATGAGCAAATTGCATCTAACCACAATTATTTGCTTTAAAACACACTCAACATTACTCGGTAAGTAGCTATATGTATCAAGCTAACACATTTCGACAAGCTAAGCTAGCTAACAGCAGTGGTTTGATGCTGTGTGGGAAGTGTTTTATGTCCACACAAACACTTTAATGTAACTATTTGACTGGTGAATGTTTACTGGGACAGATTTACCATCACCTTGCTAACACCGGTAAATGAAACAGGCACAAAATGACAGGGAGGCTACCTGCTAAGCTAACCGTGTTTCCTGCAAAGAGCAACAGTGGGGATGTTTAACACCGCCGTGTTTTTTTTTTCTCGTTTAAACCTTCAACTTAGTCATAAATATATGTGTGGCATCTTATCAAGGACCTCTCTGTCCTCAGCTGGACCCTTCACTGCAGCCCGCAGTGGGAGCTTCTTCCTCACCTTTCCGTTTAAAAAACGACATGACGAGTTTCACACTCTGCCTGGATGTTCCCTCTGCTCGCTATCACCGGCTCTCGGACTCGCGGCTCCCTTCATTTAAATGCATCTGGGTTGTTCGGTCCCGTGCAGGAGGGAAAATAACCCTTAGAACAGTATCCCCCTCCCGAACGGTGCTGTCAAATCCAAATTTTCTACAAATCCGAACCCAGCTCGGTGGCCATGTTGTCAATAAACCACTGACTTCCGGGCTGCTGCGGCAAGAAGCATTGTGGGTAATGGTGTAGTTCCAGTGGTGGCCAGAAGGTGGCGACATTTGCCCAACAATTAGACTGTTTTATTTTGTTTGTTTGTTTGTTTGTTTGTTTGTTTGTTTGTTTGTTTGTTTGTTTGTTTGTTTGTTTGTTTGTTTGTTTGTTTGTTTGTTTGTACGAAAACAAACATTTCAGCAACAAACAAAAAAGTATCAATTGTCAATTATATTTAAGTAAAATATGTACAAATCAATGAACATATTTCCAGTATAAAAGTTATGTCTATATGTGATTCTAGATGTTTTTCAAAGCAACCTCTGTCTGACACTCGTGTTACATTAAGCCTGCTTCCTGAGATCCTGCTGAGCTGATGATCCATGAAATCATAATAAAGTAATATTCATACCAACATTGTGCAGTTTAAATATTGCAACTCCACACATTGTCAGCCACGGTACAGAAGTCCAGTTTTGTTTTTGTTCTTTTATTTTTCATTTATGTAATGACAGAGAATCCACAGCAACAACAGATATACTATAGCGTCAGACCTTATGAATCCAGTCAGACGCTCTCCTCCTCTTTTTCTCGGTCAGAGCAGTGCTTTCTCCACTCTTTATTTATATCAATTGAATCAAAAAGAGGAAAACAAAAACTAAATCCAAGTTTCATAAATGCCTCAGACACCTTTTCCTCATGTTCCTCCAACTGCCGCTCCACTTGCATCTTGTTACTATAAATTAAAACGTCTTTATCGTTTTATTTTTACCCGTTTGTGTTGCCTAACTATATAAAATATTTACAATTTACAATATTACAATACAATATTTACAAAAAATAATACAATATAATATTTACAATATAACAATATTTACAAAGCTTCTCTCCTGTGTGGATTCGCTCATGCAATTCCAGAGTTGATGAGTGAGAAAATCCCTTCTCACACATGAACTGATGAAGCTTGCGGTTGTTTGCAGTTATCCACAGAGCATGAGCAGAGTCCGAGCAGGGCCACTTTTAACTTTTTATAAAATTTGAAAAATAGTCATAATAGTACATGTCTGAACCTGTTTTTAAATTTCAGATAAGGTTTTAAGACAAAGCAGTCTGCTTTCGTCTCTGTTGTGTTCTGAGCAGCCGTTAGCTCGTTCCACCGCTCAGACTTAATTGCTTTGCACCTGTTTCTCCACACGGAGGTCGTTCTATCTACAGCAGGTAAGATAGTGACTGTGTATCACCTCTTCGTAGAGCTGCACTTCATAAAGTTTAAACTGTTCTCTTTATAACAGCAGCTTAACCTCTGAACAAAAAAATAAGAAGCCTCTGAGATAGTTACAGGGTGTGTCGGCTGTGGGGTCAAATGCAGCAACCCCCCCCCCCACACACACACACACACACACAATGTTCTGCTGCTTTAAATTGTGATGGTTTTGCTGCTATAAAGAGTCTTGATTTGTGGTTATATGGCGCCCCCTTGTGGCTGCTTATTTAATGAGACTGAACAGAAGCTTTCATCTTTTCCAGAGTAAAATTATATTTATTGAATAATTTACTTGAACAGTTTTCTTATGAATGGTGCTCACAGAAATATTGCTGACAGGAGGACTTATTTCTAAGACAATATACTTTGAGACGAGACAAAAGGTTAGAATTTACAGATATTTCACCATGATTTAACAAGTTTTATACAACACTTAGATTTGGACAAACAAACGTATCAAAATAGATGGATAGGTTATTACAAAAACAAGTTTTAGACTATTCGTTTTGTGCGTACAGAGCGAGGAAAAGGACGTACGATATRTCATRAAAATAACATCTTATTCTTCAAAACACAACCTGACAAATTCTAAAAATTTGTCGTGCAAATTAAATTTTTATTTTTCTCTGGACTTCTTAATAAGGCAACGACAGGACAGCACCACTGGAGTAGCAGGTAGGTTGTATCAAAGGCCACACAACACACCCCAGAAGATGTCACGACAACAGTTTGGGGTCAAAGGTTGCAGGTTAGGATCTTCTACGGCCTTCCTGAGAAGAAGTAGGAAACTTGAGGAGTGGGTTTGGAATGACTTCGAAGCCACCGGTGATCAGACCTGTCCTTTAATTCTATAAAAGCTCATCATTTAATGTAAATTAATTATTTTTTTAAAATAACAGTATCATAAATACTTACCACGATAATTAAACAGTCTTCAGATTAAAGACAGATTCTTTCCAAAGCCTTCAGAATTTTTTTTTTTTTTGCATAGTTAATTGATTTTCTGATAGTAAAACTCAGAAAAATAAAACAGAGTGTAAAAAAAGGATATTTAGTTGTTATGTCCAGAGAGTTTATCATTTGTTTGACTGAGCAAAGTGCAAAATCTACACARGGATAGAATATTCACAGGCGCCTGACGGAGCTCGCATCATGCCTTGCTGATGGCGTTTGCAGCCAGCGTTTCTCGCCTGGTGGTCAGAAAGGCTTGTTGTTTCTCATAATAAGCCGCCTCGTTTATAAAAGTGGGATAGACGGTGCTGGAGCCTTGGTAGTGGACCGTCTGTCCGTCAAACGTTTGGAACATTGGGTCGCCGGGGTTCAGCGGCTCCCAGTCACAGTCCTGAAACAACAAGCAACAACTGCAGCGAAGGGGGGAAAAAATCACATCAACCGAATACTCATTTCCTATTTGAGAATAACTTGGATTTAAAGGGTTTTATGCTTTTACGTTTCATATACAGRATGTACCTGCAAGTTGGGGTGGACCATGGCGATGATGTTCCCGTTGGCGTCTCTGGGGTAGTCGATRCTCTCCAAAACCCGAAAGACTTCCACTGTGCAGGAAGGAAACTCCATGCCTAAAAAACACAGAAAACAGGACCTGTGCTCCTTATAAAAATTTAAAAAATAACGACCAGATACATGCCATTCAGAAGGTTAACGAGATAGCTTAGATCTGTAATTCTGATCAGATTAATGATCTAAACAAGTCCAAACAGAGCCAAGAACAAACAAAAAAAACTGCTGTCGTTTTAAAACAAGTTTTACCTAAAAAATATCTATAATCATTTATGAGAATACTATTTTAGAAACTTTAAACCACTGTGAGTTTCATAATACACAWTTATTCTAAAAAATAAATTAATTTATCGTATTCTGGCTGAACGTATAAGTCACACCGTGAGTGCTACAAGTACCTGCAGTTGTTTCTATTACCATAAACTTTAGTCCAAAAGTTGGGGTCTGTATAAAGTGGAACTGCAATGCTTTGGTTTGAATTCCTCCTTATTGTAACTCCACAAGCCCCTCTTTCACCCKCTTCCTGAGGTGCGTGTCGGTTCGACTCATTTTGAGGCTGTCCCTTTAAATCCAAGCGAGGCACTTTACACCCCGCCCGCCTCCAGCTTCTAGACCGGTCCATTCCGGTTTGATAAAGGGGTTTACGGCTATATAGCAGCGCAGAAATGTTTTATTTACAAATTAATTAAAAGATTTCAACAAGAGAAGACTTGASCCAGAGGAGAATGAAGACCACCAAATTATAGTTATAGACCAGACTAGAATAGTCAGATTTTTTGTGAAAATTACAGATTTGAGAGTCATGATAAYGTAAATGCCATAAGGGGAAGACATGTATGGGTCATAAGGTACCATGTCAGAAACAAGTTGCTTCAAATAACCCAGTAAATCTGCAGGCGAGCTGATCTAAGCACCATGAGAATCGTGTTGCACCCGCTCGATTTATTTTCACACTTTTTATAGACTGGCATCGTTTAAAGACAACAGAAATTCACTTTGGTCTCAGCTGTGTTCAAACTTTTTGTGGTTCATTCTGGTCAGACTGATCAGCTATTTCTCCAAAATTGAGGAGAGTAGCTACAAACGCTATCCTTACCAGGTAAGATAATTATTATCAACCTTTCTACAACACTCCCATTTAAAAGATCTGAACGAAGTCACGCATTGTTTATGTAACACTTTCTTTTTGCGACTGCTGCTAAACAATCTGCAGCTGCTTCCTGCCGTTTACAAAAACACATAAAAGCTAAAGTACAGCACTTCAGAACCAATCAGGAAGTGTGGTGGAGTTTTGCTGAGTTACATAAACAGATTCTCAGATCAGTGAGCCGAACAGACACCCAGAAGAACTGTACACAAACGGCTCAGTCACGTTTCAACAACCGTCTCTGTGCCACGTGTCTTCTCCAGAAGAAGTCATTTTCAGCAGCAATGAAAGGGTCTTTAAAACTAAACGACTTGTTTCGTCACGTTGCTCGGCTTCGAAAAGCACAGGAGCATCGATTCATCCCCGCCAGCGTGGTCCCGCAACAGAAGGTTACCGCACCGTTGGCAGTCGCACTGTAACGACATGGAAAGTGACCAGCAGCTCCCAACAAGCAGGCCATTCAGCTGCAGCGGGACGGTCGGAGGAAACCAACAGACTGAGGTCAGCACAAACTGTTCGCRCGTTTAATGAGGAGGAAAGTGCAGCTTTGCATTTAAACATCCTTCTGTGCTTTCAGGAGGACAGAACCAGATGTGGATACYTTTAGACCTCCTAGGTTTAATTAAATGAGTCAGGCAGTCACCCGTGGGCATTTTATAATAAATGTTACTCAACAGAGATACCCACATGAAGTAAACAACCTAATCTGTAAAATATAACTCAGACTAGTTTGTCTTTAAAACAAATAATCAAGCTATATTTTTATAATCTTTAACTGTTTTAGGTGCAATTTAACTACAACTGGTGGCTTAATATTTAAAACCTCACCTTCATTAAACAGCTCGATGAAGTCCAGGGCGTGTTTCAGAATCACTCTCATCGCCTGAAAGATGTTACTCCTCAGAACTCCTTGAGGCTGAGGACCCACTTCCAGACCTGCAGCGAAAACATCAACAGACTAAGAGTCGTGCCAACTGACTGTGAGGATTAGGACTATTTTAAATCTAATTTCCTGGAGGCGGGGATATTTCACCCTTTTGTGAACGATTCAATCAAGAAGCAGAGATTCAGTAGATTCTTTTACTTCACGTTCACTCATTTCATTTCTCTTTTGTCCTGAACGCTGCGTTTGAAATGCTAACCCCCAGCCGAGCTCAGAGGAACATGTCTGGTGGGCAGAGACTCACCCACGGGGTGCCTGGCCACAGAGCGGGACGTGGAGTACTTCAGGTGGGGGTGTTCATTCAGCAGAACAAGACAACTGGCTGGAGCAATGGCTTTCTGGGACATAAAAGCACCAGAAAATACACATCAGACAAAAAATAAAAAATAAAAACCTGCAAAGATTATGATCAAGACATCAAGCCAGGGGTGCCCACACGTTTTCCTCAGAGAAGGCCAAAAAGGAAACTCTTGGGCCAAAAGCAATAATATAATGCATGAAATGCAAACACTTTAAATAAAGTCCTTTTTTATTATTATTTTTATTAGCTAGCAGCCAGTGCAATGGTTCACATGTTTTTTTCTTTCGTTTTTTTTTTAGTC